GCAGGGAGCTAAGGAGGAGAGGGTTTGTGGGTGAAAGAGGAAATCGGGGCTCCCAGAGGGGAGGGGGGTCCCCACCAATTACTCTCTCTGCTCTGCTTCCCCTCAGGCCCCAGAGCCCCAAAGGTCCTTGGGGCTTCAAGACACTTTGCAACAGCTCTGCACTGGTTTTGAACTGGAATCCGAAAAGCTCAGGCCACTAACGGTCAGAACCTGTTTTCTGGGGAGCTTATCTGCCAAGGAGAGAGGGGGCAAAGCGTCTCCAGCCTATCTGCAAAGACAGTGGACGCCAGTCTTCAGAATCAGAAAGGAAACAGCTCGGGAAGCTGAGGCCAGGGGACGGGGCGCTGACTCCGCTCTGGGCCAGACTTCCCAGCCCCACCTCTCGTCTCCGGCCACGGAAAGAACTCCGGGACTTTAAAAGCCAGCGTCTCTATGGAGAAGGGGCTATCTTTGCGGCTGCTACCTTTCCTTGAGTAATAAGTACCTCAGTGCGACTTCATGCCGAGGCATTCAAAGCAACAGCAAGGCACACAGTGCCTTCCTCTCTCCTTCCCCGAGGATTAGTTAGCAGCCCTTCCAACAAAGGCCGAGAAACTGAGGGGCCTTCTCCTCCCGTCACGGAGAGTCCCAATGCCTGAGTAGTTTCTCGACTGCCCACCGTAGGCTAGGGCTTCTTTTAAATTTGGGAAAACAACATTTGGTGTTTATAGGGCGGGGGCTTCCATATGAGACCCCGTTACCGCTGTTTTCTCTTTCATGCCCATTTCCTTTGCCTTCGCTCAAGTCCTGCAAAGCGTTCACTAGTGGCTTTCAAGCCAGCACAGGGAAGAGCTCCATCAATAGGTACTGCATAATCACATGAAAGGACAAGAGACCAGGCAATGCTCTGGCCACCTCTTTGCCCCACCCAGCCTCGCCGGCCTCAAACAAGGGCCTAGACAGATCCACGAACTGTATCCTTGTAACGCAGAAGTCTGGGATTACTGAGATCTAGGTATTGTTGGAGAAAGAGCCACGAAAGCTCTGGCAAAGCTGCGTCTGGGGGGTGCGACGCTGCTGACAGGAGGGATGGAGCAAGAGAACATCACACGGAGAACTGGCACTCCGTACCCGGGACAATAAACGGACGCGTATGTCTAGGAGACAATGGGAATTTTCTTTTGTCTACGTCATACACACTGCGAGGAAAGCTTTTCTCAAAACATACATTGTTTGGCAGAAACGAAAACCGTAAGAAATGTATAGTTCATCTGAGTGCCCTGGGGTGTAGAGTTCTTTCTGTTGTTGCCACATAACTTGTGTTTCTGTAGCTTTGGTCACTGAACTAAGTTCAGCATGACATGGGGGTTAGAGGAAAACCAAATATACAGCTAGTAGGCACCTTAACAACCAACCACTTGTCTTTCTAGGGTACCAGGTAAAAGCCAAATTCAGACATTTCCGACTTCAGAGCCTTTAGTGCATTGAACAGATGAAGAAAGAGATAAGGGCCATCTTGATATTAAATAGAAAAGACTGGAGACTGTCATATTCTATTTTGGTTGGCAGAGGGAATCAAAAGATATGCCCACGAAATGACTCTGAAATGATCCCAGGGTGTAGAAAGTCTCCAGTGTGCCCTTCACTGGAACCTTCTCTGCAGTATCTTGGACTCTCTCTGACACTACATTTCTTTCCCCACCTCTCCCATGATACCTAAAGACATCCAGAGAAGCAGCGAAGCAGGTTTTGGTGCACACCTGCAGTCTGCTTTGGTGAGATTTGTAAATGAAGGTGCGTTTGCCAACTTAGGTGGTATCAAGACTCAGTTTCTGCAGCCCTAGGTCTTCCTATTTCAAGAACAAAAGGGAGAAAAGAGTCGGGACAGCTACAGGACACAGCCTTTGTGACAGCATGGTGACCAGAGAGTCTTCTAACCGTGTCCATGTGGCGGGGTGGGTCCCTTTCCTGAGCAGGCAATGATAACTGTCAAACCAGCACTGAGTGGAGATGATGTTCAGGATCCTAAGAAGCGGGCGGCACACACAACATCGGAACTATGTTTTCTGGCCTATTCCTAGGGGCTTCCCAAACAACCTGCCTACTTGCTAATTTGTCTGTTCCTAGACTAAACCTATTTGGTGCTTGCGAAGATGAGGCCAGCATTAAGGAGGCGGCTAGGGCCCATCTATCTTCTCTCCCAGGGTCACTACTCCGGGTGTAAGGTGATCCCCGGCCTCTGGGTTTGGCATTCTGGATTGATTCGAGAGAGCTAGGAGGACATTTTGGATAGAAAAGGAGTCAGAAATACAGGAGCAAGTGGAACGGTTTCCCAGGCTTCCCTTTTGGCACATACTCTCGTTTCTCTTCTTTTGTGGATGAAATGAGACGCTGGTCGCAGGTCCCGGCGCCAGCAGGCTGCTCCATGGACAGAGCTGAGCTCCTGCGTAATCACACGGCTCTATCTTAAGCCAGCTAACCCCACAACAAGCCAGACAGGCCCTGCCACATACTTCGGGAACAACCTGAGCTCTCTCAGAGAAAATCAAGGTGATGGGAACAATGCAAAGGAGGCAGAGAAAACTACGTGGAAGGTGGAAAAGGTGGTGACCAAGAAGGTTTGTGACCACAGACTGTCCAGGAGATTGGAATAGATCCCTCTTGGGCCACCTGGGAGGCTTGGATCAGGTGACGGGAAGACCAAGAAAGGCCCTTGTGAAGGGGATGTATGGTGTCAGGTCTCACAAAGTGGGGCTCTGCTCATTTAATCTCATTCTGACCCAGCCAATGTTCAAATAAAACTCTGCATCTGCTAAGCTCTGCAGCTTTGGGAGACTTTCTACACATATAGGGCTACAACAGACATGTGAGACATTTATGATAGTGGACTTTGCTTACTGGACTATCTTAACTTTCAGAAAGTTAAGAAGACTAGAGACAATGACATCCATGCACATTTCTCTTGCTTCTGAATGGGCTGATGAACAAACACATCTTACTTTGGTAGTTGTGATTGTACATGCTGTGTTCAACTAAAACAGCCCTGCTCGGGTCCCCACACGCACCTTTTTGAAGAAGATGAATCAAGGGGTAGGTAGGTAGGGAAATGAATCCACGTGGAAGAATAATATACAGGGTACCTTCCCGGGTTGTGTGAATGCTAGCTTTGTTCTCCAGTAATATTACAGAGGCAGAAGTGAGAGGCAGTTCCGTTTCTTTCCCTGCTTTGCTGGCATCAGCCTAAGAGATCTCATCGAGTCTTGTCTGATTCTCCCTCTTCCTGCCACCTTTGCAGTCTGGGGTTGGCGTTTTGCTGATGTTCTGGCCCTGAGCCGACCTCCCCAGGGAACCACCCTCTTCCTGCCAGCCTCCAACACCAAGCTGCCCCCTTTACAGACCTGAATGACTTCAAGGGGTGATCGATTCATGCCGATGTTCATGAAAGAAATGTTTCACAGAGTCAGAACTCTGCACTCTGGAGCTCCAGGAGCACCATTAGGAAGGGGAGAAGGAGGCAGAGGGCCTTCGGGGTCAGGACGGGGCTTTGAAGGGAATGGCTATTGGAAACAAGGGCTCTCCCTTCCCGGGGACCCGGGGCTGCGGCCTGCTGGAAATGCTATAATAAGTAACAAGGATAACCCTTTGACAAGACAGAGTTAAAAACAGGAATACTGTTTTAATATGGGATTTATTCCTGGCCGCTGGTCACTGCTGCAAGTCTATAAGGAGGCTTCAGATTTCAAAGATGAATAAAAAGGATGAGCCTGGAGGAGGGGCAGGCCTGAGGGGTGAGAAGGTCGCAAAGCTGACAGCCCGTGGGAATGTCCTGCTGACCTCTGTCTTCCAGGTCCAGGAGGATTCCAGAGGTAAAGCAAGCAGCCCCAAACCACCTTGTCTGCCAGAGGGCCCCTTGCTTGGACTAAGCCGCTGGGATTCCACACAGCCGGCAGCCAGGAGCACAAGGCCCACTGGAAGCTAGAGGAAGAAGACCCACTTCAGCGCTACCAGCTAGAAAGCCCAGCGTCAAGGGCACGGGGGCGCCGTCCCCCAGAAAGGTGGTGCCCTCGAGGCAGCATTTTGCCTTTCCAAACGCCTCTAGAGGTGGACTTCTTCCTCATTTGCAACTTACAACAATGGAGATGACCATCTCTAGACTGAACACAGTTCGGATGAAGGGCAGAATGAGGCAGGCAGACCCAGGGTTCGGAAAGTGGCTCTCTCTCTCTCTCTCGGAACCTGCTCCCTGGCAAGATCAAGGGTAGCCGGGGTGGGGGCGGGGAGGAGACGGGGGTAAACAGAGGCAGAAGCCTGTCTCTGATCTCTGATCTTCTAACATTCTGGCCCCCAGGCCAGCATCACAGATACCAGCACGACTCCCTCCTCAGATTTTTCAGGACTGGAACTGGGCAGAAATCTGGCGTATGCCGCTCGCTCAGATCTTTGCTGCTCAGGGCACAGCCTTTATCTGTCTTGTCAGCAAAGCCACCTTCCCTGTCAGGCCTCAAAAGAGCCCCACCCAGCTCCGTTTGGTGCCACATGGTTTTCTTTGAAAGGCCCTGCTGTAACAGCAAGAATTAAGCTGGGTGTCCTTTTCTAAGTAAACAGGAAATATCACTCTGTTTGAAAAAAAAAAAAAAGAAGAAGAAGAATCCCTCTCCTCAGCACAAATGCAATAGTATGCCAACTTATATTTCCCGTGAATGTGAAATCAGAAGCAGGATCTATTTCTTAGGGCAGCATAGGCTCCTCAGCCTTCAGGGAGCAGGATCTGAGGGAGGCCCGGCTGCCGAGGACACTTCAACAACACTTCCACTGACTGACTGTTGGGAGCTGGGAGGATCCCAGTTCGGAAGGGGAACAAGGCCTGAAAAACACTGCACACTCACATCTAAGGGGCAGGATGGTATGCATCTACATTTCAGTCACGGCAAGAGTTAGTGTTCTGCTATTTTACCACCTTTTGAGATCTGGAAAAAAAAAAAAAAAAATCTGAAGCCTTGAGTCAGTCCGGAGGGTCGACACAGGGCAGGAGAAAGAAATGCAGTATTACGGATGGCTTGTTCCCCATTACATCAGGACCTGGGTTCGTGTGTCGGGCAGGCGCAAGCCCACCAGTCCTCCACACACCAGCACGGTGGAGGCCAGCAGGATGGGGATCGATTTGGTGAAGCTGACCAGGGAGCCGAATATTAAGTTTCCAAGGACGGCCGCTGCTTTGCACAGGGCATTCAAGAAGCCAAAGCCTGTCGCCCTGCAAGGGGAAGAGACACAAGACAAGGTTGACAAAGTGACTTCCCAGATGCAACCTTAGACACAAATGTCCTTAGGGACCGCCAAGAAGAGTTTTGTATCTCATTAAGGCAAGTGATGGAATGCTTGCTAGCCCATCCGGAGGTAGAGAACCTCAGCTCTTGGCACTGGTCCTTCAGCCCTCTGCTGATTTTCTCCTCACCTTGACTGATTCTTATTCTGCCCAGAAGTTCCACTTTATCGTGAACAGAAAGAAAAAGGAATTTCAGGGCAAAAAGTCTCTTCTCTCTTCCAGAGTTAAATTAAAATACAGGACCATATATTTCTTAAGATTTTTTCCCCCTCCCTCTTTCCTCATAGCTCCATTAACGTGTGAGGTTTTAAATAACTAAAACCATGGAATTATCAGACAAAATCAGGGATGACTGGCTTGTATTCCTCATCTTTCGGGTGCCATAGAGGTGAATTATCATGCTCCCTCCACACATGTTTTGGTAGCAGGCAGACACCGAATGCTGAGCGGGGTGGCCACCAATGAGCTAACAGCACTTCCTCCATCCTCATCAGAGTTCTGTGTGGAAAATCACGTCCAGGAAAATATTGCTGGAGAGAATCCGATGGTCGGCCTAGAGAAGATCTTGCTCATTCTGCTGGTATTTGAGTGTGATTTTACTCTAGGAAACTTAATTTTGCTCATGAGGGTACTGACATCCCTGACATCATGACATACTATGAACGTCCTCGGCCTCTATGTCAGTTCACTTTCTTGTCCGTCACTGGATACATCTGGGTGTTCAAGGCAAATTGAATGCAAGATCATTGTTGGACACCTTTTTCCCCCTCCAGAGGGAAGTGCATTTTATACGCTGTCAAATGTAGCATCCAGTACACCTCTTTCTTTGATTTGTAAACGGGAAAGTGTGGGCTTTCCTTTGGCCAGTCACAACTACTCATCACTCTCTGAGCTGTTCCTAGTGCCATTTTCTACAGAGTGTAGATATTCATTGTGGTTATTATCCACCCGCCCCCGCTTCCCACACCACAGAGAGGAATACGCTGCGTTCCTACAGAACTCAGCCTGTGACTTTGTCCAGGGCCAGTGACTTCACTGGTCAGTACAGACCTAAAAAGAGGTAGCAAGCGCCAACTTTCTTTCTGGCCAAGACACCTGGAAGGTAGAGTAGGCAGACCTTGGCCATGTGGCAAAACTGCCAACTGTGTGGAATGTGGAAGGGGTGTAACAGAATCTCTGACAGAAAAACAGGAACTTTTTGAGAAGAGAGTAAGCTAATTTTATATGCTTCTTCTTTTTGGTTTGTTTTTAAATAAAGAGACTAGTAATAGCAACGACCACTAGAAAGGTAAGATTTAATGTACTGATAACTATTTTCAAATGAAATTGCTGGAGGCTACCTGCTGGGTACTGCAGAGGACTTTAGTAGAATGACATCATCATCCACCACTTCCCCCACCTCCACGGAGATGCCATGAGGCTGAACTCCTTGTTTGTTCAGTAACACTTTTTCGAGCAGTTTTAGGTTTTCAAAAAAATGAGTAAAAAGCAAAGACAGTTCCCACATAAATCTTCACCCCGCACCCCTATTTTTAACACCTCAGTGTGGTACACAGGTTTATAATTGATGAACCCAGTATTAGTACATTGTTATTAACTCAAATCCATAGTTTAAGTCAGGGTTCATTCTGTGTTTTGTATTCTGTGGGCTTTGATAAATGTATAAGGCCATGTGTCCACCATTACAGTATCATACAGAGTCATAGTTTCACTGCCCGAAAGTCCCCTGTGCTCCCCCTATTTATTCCTCCTCTTTCCCCAGTAACTCTGGCCATCACTGATCTTTTTACTGTCTCTAAATCTGCCTTTTCCAGAATGTCAGATAGTTGGAGTCCTACAGTAGGTAGCCTTTCAGACTGACCTCGTTCGCTTTTTTTAAACCACATTTTAGTTTCTAGATTCTAGGCTCATAAATTACCAAATACATCTTCTGGTAGTAAGATAAACTGTATTGGTCTGGGAAAAATGGCTAGTGTGTATGGTGCTGATAAGAGAAAAACATTCTTCCGTAGGAAGAAGTCTCTCGATGCTGAAACTGCAGAATGACCCAAACAGAGTTTACAGCTGGGTTAAAATAACTGTATTTTCCCAAGGTGTAACTCTGAACAGGGTATAAAATATGGGTGGCTATCTCCTTACGGTATGGACAACTTCCTGAGATTTCTGGACAGCGCTGAAGAGACACGCATTGGGAGCATCTGGTATCTGAAGCTTAAAAAAAAAAAAACCCCAAAACCGAAAATGACCAAATCTTTATATTCTATGACTCTCCATCTTCATTTATCGAACAGAGACAGTTCCTCACACGAAAATCTGGTATGGATCCAAAGCATATAGCCTCCTTAAATTAGCACTGGCATTTGAGAAAATGTGATCGTCCTTTCCTTGGATAAGTAAATTCTTTTTTCAAATACTTGTGAGCTGGAGGGTTGATTTCCCATGCATCAGACACACAGCTGTGTTACCAAAATCATTCTCGAAGTAGCTCTCCCTTGCTGGTTGTCTGTTTATAAAGTAAATAAGCTTTCAGTTCATTACTCCCTTGCTCTTACTTAAAGGCAAGCCATGAACTTCTACAGACACACAAAGTGCAAGTTACTCCATGCTCATTAAGTCCTCTGAGGGTGGGGAGCTGAGAGTTTGCAGAGCTCAGCATTTGACTCGCTGACTTCTCAACAGCAGGACAAGCTCCTGAATTTTTTTCAGACCAAAGATGTTCCGTGCCTTCTCTTAACCAACAAGTACCAAGGAGAAAGAATGAACTGATCTACGATCTTTCTATAAACTCCATCCCTGTTCCCCTACCTCTCCAGCCAGAATCCTTTGTTTTCAATTCTTGCTCAACCTACTTAAATCTTTTACATGGAAATTCTTTCCCCAAACAGTACCCTGGGACCTCGGCAGTCCCGTTCCACATTTTATCACGGTGGCTTTGTCCTGCACCATTGACTCCTTCTGAGAGCCCGGTGCTAGTGCAGGGAGCTGGCTCACTGCGGTGCTCAGGCTCCGCTGCTGGGGGTGTGGCTGCCAGAGCATCCCTCAACGGGCCGTGGCTTCTCCAGGACCTTCCCAGTGGAGTGGGTTCCAGGGCATTTGTATCATTTTTAGCTTTGGTTGGAGGCTGGGAAAAGGAAACCACTGGCACCATTCTGGATAGGGTGAGGAAAGTTTTGCCCTCACATTTAGCCTCTTTCTTAAATTTCGTTTTTCTGACTTCAATGCAGGATCAGCCGTGGCTTTTATGGGGCTCCTGGGAAGAAGCAAGGGATGCTGAATAATAGTAACAGGTAGGCCGTGCCTGGCACATGGTAGGCGCCATGCCAGTGTGAGCCATGGTTTCAAACGCTGACTGAAGGATCCGTCCCATTGACTGCTGAAATCAGGAAAACAAATTAAATGTTCATTTTGGGAAAAGGCCTGAAATGGGGTAGATCCAGACTCAGCTCATGGAATTTACCTTTTAAGGGGTAAAAGGGAAGCATTCTCTTTGCTTAATTGAAACTTTTGGAAAGAACTTTTTCTGGATGACTCAGTCAAATCATTGGTAGAAGTTAAAAAAGGAAGGACGCCTGGGTGGCTCAGTCATTAAGCGTCTGCCTTTGGCTCAGGTCATGGTCCCAGGGTCCTGGGATCGAGCCCTGTGTCGGGCTCCCTGCTCAGCGGGGAGCCTGCTTCTCCCTCTCCCGCTCCCCCTGCTTGTGTTCCTTCTCTCGCTGTGTCTCTCTCTGTCAAATAAATAAATAAAGTCTTAAAAAAAGAAAAAAGAAGTTAAAAAAGGAATACTAAGGACTCAGCAAGGGGCATTTTGGAAAGTAGAGGCAGTCCTTAAATCAGTAATATCATAACCCTGTCTCATCTGCAGGGGAGATGTTCCAACACCCCCAGTGGATGCCTGAAACTAGAGATAGGACCGAACCCTATATATACTATGTTTTTCCTATATATACTTCCTTATGATAAAGTTTACTTTCTAAATTAGGCTCAGTCAGATTAACAATCACTAACAATAAAGTAGAACAATTATAACAATATAATAAAAGTTAGGTGAGTGTGGTCTCTCTCTCAAAATATATTATACTGGGCCTACTTTTTTTTTTTTTAAGAATTTAAGTAATCTCTACACCCAATGTGGGGCCGGAACTCACGACCCAGCCGTGAGATTAAGAGTCCCAGGTTCCACCGACTGAGCCAGTCAGGCGCCCCTGTCCTCATTCACTCTTCTCGTGATGACATAAGACGAGGAAATGCCGACATGAGGAGATGATGTGAGGTGAGCGATGCAGGCACTGGGACGTGCTATTAGGCTACCACTGACCTTCTAGCACTGTGTCAGGAGGAGGCTCATCTGCTTCCAGACCAGAGGGGACATGAGTCACCAAAACTGCATAAAGGGAAACCTCCGATAAGGAGGAACTACTTTACACTGTGCTCTAGGGATTCACCCAGAAGTTGGCTCTTGAAAGCACAAAACGAATTTCATTTTTTCTCAGGGAAACAGCATTACAAATGATGGCACGTTTCCCAGGTTTATCTAAAAAAGCTATTTCACCATTGGATCCATCCAAGCGACTGGACTACCATGCTAAGAGCACTAGAAACCCCTTGAATATTTGTCTACGAAGCAAAATGGTCCTTAATATAGTCCTAATTTACACATTCTTCTGTGCATTTATTCATTTAATGATCATTCATTAAGCTTTATGTGCCACGCACTACACTAGGCACCAGGGAGCCCGAAGTTAATAAAACAAAGTCCCCTTTGGTATTAAGACAGATGCAAAAGGATCATGATAACACAACATGCTAAGGACAGTAATACAGCCAGCCACAGGGTACAACGGGGGTGCACAGGATGGGAGGTGATCTCAGGGTGGGGGTGCAGCACTGAGGGAAGACTTCTCAGAGGGGATGGAGGCGAAGAAAATTCA